TTTCTCCTAAAGTATTTTCTTTTGGTTCATATTGACTATATTCTTTAGTTATTTCACTATTATATGGTGCTGGGAGATGATCATAATAAAGTTGTTGATATGTTATACCTTCTTCTTGAGAAAATCTTGCTTCATAAAAGAATTTAATTACTAAAACTTTTAGTATATTGTGGTTAGGGATGTTAGCAAACAGAGCTTTCGACAAACTACTCGTTTTCGTGTTCGGTAAGCGTTCGTTTAGGTTCGTTTATTAAGGTAAACGAACATTAACAAACAAAATTTAGAGCTCAGTTAATAAATGAAGAGAGTCTGAACAGTGGTAAGCTCGTTTGCTAAGAGATCGTGAACAAACTCGTTTGTGTTCGTTTAGTAATGTTTGCGAACAAGCTCGTTTAGTAATGTTTGCGAACATGTTCACATGCATGCATACATACATACATACATACATACATACATACATACATACATACATACATATATATATATATATATATATATATATATATATATATATATATATATATATATATATATATGTTTGGAAATAATGAACCAAATCGATTTAATATCCCAAAATAATATTTATATATACACACGAAAATATATCAAATATTATTGGATATATATATCCGAAATATATATATATACACACAAATATATATAAAACGGACCCAAAGGTTATATATACATATTGATATACCAATATATATTAACCAAAATTGAAACTTATAATCCTCAGATTATAATTCCAATCTAACGACTAAACCAAATATAGAGAAATGATTTTTGTTTAGAAGCATAATCCAAACCGAAAGAAAAAAAGATGGCTCGTGTTTGGGTATAGGGTTTTTAGCACGAGTCAAACGAGACACTCAGTTTTCCTTAAAACCTTATTTGTCACCTCCCAAAAGTGATAGGAGCGTTGTGGCCTAGGTTTCCCAGGATAAAATGTGCTACGGTTCGACGTTTGAGCACCCAAACGAACGAACCCGGTGAACTAGAGCAAAGCCTTGAACACAGCTAGGCAAAGAAAGGAGTAGAAGCAGAGTTTTTTTTTTCTGTACTTAAATCTGCTGCTCCTAGGATAAAGGATTAAATCTGCTGCTCCTAGGATAAAGGATTCAATAGCATCATTATGGCATTAAAACGTACTTAAATCTGCTGCTCCTAGGATAAAGGATTAAATCTGCTGCTCCTAGGATAAAGGATTCAAACCTAAAATTGGAATTAATAGGATAAGGGCCAGCGCACACGAGATCAGGCTTGACTCAAGCATTTTCGATCTCAGTTTGGGATTTAATTTGCACACTCCCCCTGCGCACGAAAGAGAGCCTCTATGCTATACATTCAATAAGCCTCTAAAAGACTCTTGTATAAATAGTGGGCAAATCCTCTTCCCAAACCAATGTTGGACAAAAGCTCACATTTTCCCTTCAATTTTTCCAACTCAATGGGTCTACTTTGAGAATCAATATCTCATTCACCCATTATCTGTTTTGAGCGTACAATATATCAATCTCTTCGTCTCACTACGAAGAACCCGAATCCACTTTGACTCGACCCATTTCGGAAGTGGACCCCACTGATAATTGTACGACAAATAGACACTTAAAACACCAAGTGATGTTGAAAAGAATGTGGAGAAGGTGAAAAGGACATTAGAAGAATTATATCTTGATTATGTGAACTTGTATAGTCAAGATACTTCTTCTACTAGTGGACATAATGAAGTCAATGTTGAAAGCAGCACTCTGGTTGATGGTGGACAACAAATGGATAAAGGGACACAAGAAATATTGAGTATGGTATACCAAAGTCAATCAATTCCTCTTACGAAATCAGAGTTGGAGACTTATCTTGAGGAAAATCTTTTTATTCATTCTTCTTCTTCACCCTTTTGTGCCTTGGCGTGGTGGAAAAATAATAGTCTAAAATTTAAAGTTTTATCAAAGATGACTTCTGATATACTAGATGTTCCTATTTCAAGTGTGGCATCTGAATCTACATTTAGTGTTGGGGGAAGGGTGATTGATGAATATCGTGCTAGCTTAAATGAGCAATCTATTGAAGCTCTTATTTGTGGTGGGGATTGGTTTCGTAACAAGTATGGGCTGAAGAAAAAATCAAAGGTAAGAATTATATTACTACTTATTATTTTAATATATTTATGATTTATGAATTATGAGCACTTGAACTTATAATGGACTTCATTTTTATTCTCAATTTTTTTCATTGTGTAGGAGAATTCTGGACAAGAGGAGATTATGCTGAAGCCATGACTTTTTTATTTTATGTTTGAATATTATTAAGTTTAATGTTTGTATTGTGGACTTATAATTTCTGTTGTTGTTAAACTTGTGATATGAACTCTTATTTATTAAACTTGTGTTGTTGGAAATTTTATTATGAAATATGAATTTGGTTTTGTCATTCATGATTATTGGGGTTGATGTAATTTAATAATATGATCATTATTTACAGGTAAATATTAAAATGTAGGCTTTAAATAGGCTTTGAGCCTATTTAAATAGGCTCAAAGCCTATTTAGAACCTATTTTGAAGCCTTTTTAAAAGCCTATTTATTAAATAGGCTTTTAAAAAGGCTTCAGGCCAGGCTTGAGCCTAAAAAAGCCTATTTACAGGCCCAGGCCCAGGCCTAGGCTTTAGATTTTCTAACAGGCCCAGGCCTAATTTTCAAAAGTCTAACCCGGCCTGGCCTATTCCCATCCCTACTTATTATGTTTTTAGATTAGGTAATTATTTCTTCTACTTGTCCTCCTTTACTATGTCATATTACGCAAGCTCTTTTATGTCTTAACATATCTTCAATTCTTGATTTTAAAGTTACTATTCCATCCCCATGCTCTTTTTATTTTAACAAATCAAACCATTCGGTTTAACATTAAAGTTCGGTTCGTATTTAATTCGGTTCGATTTCGGTGGAAGTTCACTGTTTGAACGTTTTCTTTTTCGCCTGATTGATTCTTCAGGTTGCTCACTTGGAATTTCATTTGAAATGTTTTGTTGATGAAAAACAGTCATCTGTATAGTTAATATTTGAAAAAACAAAAATTATTAAAAGAATAACTTTCAAATAATCATAAAAATTTTCAACACATAACCATTTAAAGAACCTGGAATGAAATCCTAGAAACCGAAATTTCAATTCCATTTCGAACAACCCTCATTCTAGTTTATGGAATTTAATTCCAGTTTGTTCACTAGAATGATATCCTAGAAACTAGAATTTAGTTCAATACGTACTACATACATGTAAGTGTTGACGCAAATGGGTTTATAGCTCAGTGACTAAGGCTTTTGCTTTCCAAACTTGATGGTTAGGGGTTCAAACATCACCTTGGATATCCACTCCATTTCTTTTGTTTCATAACAATTTTATATATATATATATATATATATATATATATATATATATATATATATATTAAAACGAACGATTTTTGGTTCGGTTTAATTTTTAACCAAATCGAACCGAATCGTTCGATTCCGCTAAAACCAGTACTGATCGAAATTTCAATTTTAAACCAAACCGAATCAGTTCGTTTTATCGTTTTAAACCAAACCAAACCAAACCGGTTTGGTTCGAATAAACCGGACCGTTTTGCCCAGCCCTAATTTAGACTAGTAGTACTATCTCTTTTTGTTGTAGTATTTTTTTTTCCATATATAGGCTTAACCATAAAATCATAATAACAAAAGAAAGATTGTCAATATTTTCTTTTGTTTAATTCTGGTAATGATCTATTTTATTCATAATAAAGGCTCTCACTTGAGTATTGTGTGTTCTTACTACAAATTTTACAGATAATAAATGATAATGAAATCTTTTTTATGCAGTGACATTTTGGAAAATTAAAGGCTTGCAAAAATTACAACCCACAGTAGGGCGGGCTAGTATGCATTGAGACCCCTAACTGGCAACTAATCTCATTAAACTGTAAAAGATTGATCCAGCAACATGAAAGCAAAGTGTACCATATTTTTATAGAGCAAAATCCGACAGCAGATTTCCTTGCCAAAGAAGTTTTAACGCATGTGAAAGGCCTGAAAATAGTCATAATGCATCCTTAGGGAGGTCTCCAATTCATCCTTGACATCAATACTATGGGAATACCTCGCGCCCATAAGATTGTAAAGGACGGCTAATTGGTGTTGAACTATTTTAGACGTCTCCCCTCCTTTCAAAGAAAAAAAAAAGAACTTTTGGGGGGGGGGGGGAGGGAGGGAGGGAGGGACCCAACCAGACTAGCATTTGGTTCTATCGTAGCCCTTTTGGAACACCACTTTAACTTTGTCAATCTCCAGTTGCCATATGATTTTCGAGGGGCGGGGGCCTTTGAATTCAATCCAATCACATTTTTTGCGAGGCGCAAACTTGGCGAGGTAATCAACGACCTTACGAGGCTCAAACTTTTGTTTGTAAAGGAAATATATAATATTATAATAAAGTTAATTCCATTTTGTCTTAGATTTATAGGTGTCAGTTCACTTTTAGTCATTTTTTATCAGAACATTCCTTTTGGTCCTAGTATTATTGTGACATGACTAATTTTGGTCCTCTATCAACAAAATTGTTGAAATTTCGTTAATTCTATTATAATATAATACTCCGTATATACTAAACATTTAATGAGGGTTGAAATCATAGTTTGATTTTATTTCCTTTATTTCATTCATTTTGTGGTCAATCAAACATTAAAGAACAATGCCCCAATATTTCATATTTAATGCCATTATTTAGTATATAACGGGGTGCTTTACCGTTACTGGTTTCCGTCCCCTTAATTTAATCCAAAATTTCGGATAAAGTTGGCATAGGTGGAATAGTACACACGTTTTTTTTGAGCTGTTATCAAAATCAAAATAACTATAACTATAACTATAATAATAATAATTAACCATAAAAATGCATTTACCTTGTTTATCCCAATCATTCGGATATAAATCTTACTCGAGTTTCATTGATTCTGAATCAAATTAAATTTATCTTTTCCTTTACCGTTATTCCAAATTCCAAAAGTCCAAACAATGAGTGGAAAAACCAAGAATCCAAAACAGCCTTTAGTCTGCTTTTTTCTCTGTATTTTCTTGGTGTTCATACACAACGCCTCAAACGCCCAAGGACAGGATCAGATTGGGTTTGGGTATCAGGTCATCTCGTCGGCGGTTGACAGCTCCGGCCGGTCGTTGACTGCCCGGCTTCAGGTCATCCAGAACTCATCTGTTTTTGGCCCTGACATCGTCAATCTAAGCCTTGTTGCTAGGTAATAAGAAAGTTGAATCCCCATAGTTCTGTAGTTTCTTGAGTTTTAAAAATGCAAAGTTCGGAGTAATCCTAACTATGTTTTTTTAAGGTTGTTTTCGTGCTAAATGCTATGTGTATGGATGCAGCTTTGAGACAGCGGGTCGTTTGAGAGTGAAGATCACAGATGCAGATAATGAGAGATGGGAAATCCCAGAAGACATCATTCCCCGCACAACAATTGCAAATTCTTCCTCCCTATCCCTCGCCCAGGTTGCAGTGGGAGAGAATAATCAGTCTTCCATCTCCGACCCAAACTCCGACCTGGTTTTCACCCTTTACAACACCATTCCTTTCGGCTTCTCCGTCCAACGCAAGTCCTCAAACGACACCCTTTTCGACGCCTCACCGGTGGCGGGTTCCAATGAAACCTTCTTGATCTTTAAGGATCAGTACCTGCAGCTTTCGTCGTCATTGCCGGCCAGCAGTTCGTCTCTGTACGGGCTTGGAGAGCATACGAAGACCACGTTCAAGTTGCAGAGCCCGCAAACGCTCACGCTCTGGACTGCGGATATAGCCAGCTTCAATCGCGACCTCAATCTGTACGGCTCCCACCCTTTTTACATGGACGTGAGATCCCTCCCTCAACCTGGGGTCACCCATGGGGTCTTGCTGCTCAACAGCAATGGAATGGATGTTGTGTATAATGGCGATAGGATTACTTACAAGGTCATTGGTGGCATTCTTGACCTTTATTTCTTTGCCGGCCCTACGCCTGAATTGGTGATGGAGCAGTATACAGAGCTCATTGGCCGCCCTGCTCCTATGCCTTATTGGTCCTTTGGTGAGCACTCACGTTTTCTTCATTACTTTCTCAGTCCGTCCAATTTTATATGTCTGGTTGTTTAATTGGAACTGGTGCATGTTGAGCAAATAATATATAAACTCTAGTCCATTTATCATCTTGACTTTTAATTGAGACGGAACATATCATTCAATTTGACATCATAAGTCAATTTCATGAGTGTAAAGGGTCAAGTCCATCAATTAGTGGTTAAGGGGATTGTTAGGCTGATACTGGGTATAAAGAAGTCCATCATCAATTGGTGGCTAAGGGGATTGTTGGGCGGAGGCCAGTAAAGGGTCAGTCTAGCATTTTGCCCCTTGAAAAATGGAAATAGAGTTGGGTCTTTACGACTAATTATAACTTTTGAGGCAGTGGTAAACGTTTAATCCTAACTAGTTGTGTCTGTGCAGGATTTCACCAGTGTCGTTATGGTTATGTGAATATTGACGAAGTTGAAGGAGTGGTGGCTGGGTATGCAAACGCCTCAATACCCCTAGAGGTTATGTGGACAGATATTGATCACATGGATGCCTACAAGGATTTTACTTTTGATCCTGTAAATTTCCCACCAGAGAGGATGAAGGCATTCGTTGATAAACTTCATCAGAATGCTCAGAAATATGTGCTCATTCTTGATCCAGGTTAGTTCAATTCAGCTAATTTCATTTAATTTGTATCAATTATATTGTTGGTATAATATATTGATCCATTTTTTTCCTTTGATCATCAGGGATTAGCATAAACGACTCATATCCCACCTACACCCGAGGGCTACAAGCTGATATATACATCAAGAAGGATGGTGTTCCATACCAGGGACAAGTCTGGCCTGGAAATGTATACTTCCCGGACTTTGTAAACCCAGCAACCACCACCTACTGGAGCAATGAGATCAAGATGTTCTGGGATGTTGCTGAATTCGACGGCCTGTGGATCGACATGAATGAGTTATCCAACTTCATAACATCTCCTTCCAACGAATCCTCCTCGCTCGACAACCCGCCCTACAAGATCAACAACTCTGGAGGCCAGAGGCCGATCAACGAGAGAACTGTCCCTCCAACGGCGCTCCATTTTGGCAACATTCCAGAGTATGATGTTCATAACCTGTATGGGTTCCTGGAAGCCAAGGCCACAAATGAGGCTTTGATCAATGTTACTGGGAAAAGGCCTTTCGTGGTGGGCAGGTCTACCTTTGTTGGGGCTGGCAAGTACACTGCACATTGGACTGGTGACAATGCTGCAAGTTGGGATGATTTGGGGTTTAGCATTACAGGCATTTTGAACTCTGGGCTGTTTGGGATTCCCATGGTTGGAGCTGACATTTGTGGCTTTGCTAGAGCTACTACAGAAGAGCTTTGCCAACGCTGGATCCAGGTAATTAAACTACCTTGCTATAATCATACAAATTATCCTTGTCTAGTAACAAAATCAAACATACCAGGGGTAATCCCATTCAAGATGACTAAGGATATAGACTTGTAACCACAAGTTCACGAGTTTAGATCCCTGTATTCTTGATTCAAGCCGGTCAGCTATGGGCAACATAGGTTGGTTTACCTTCTTGTGGTCCTTTGCTGGCTAAGATCACAATGCGTGGTTTACCCAGTGCACTCGGGTAGTGGTTGCAATTTTTCCTGGTTACCCCAAATCAAACATATCATATTGTTAACTTGGTAATCACAAGGTTACAAGTTCAACTCCTAACAGGATCAGCCTATTGTCCTTAGTTTGCTGACTAGGGTCCTCGTCACCCAATTCTTAGTTTGATCTTTTCAACTATGGGTAATCTAGGCTAGTTTACCCCTCTGTGACTCTTCTTAATCTGGACTACTGGTTTATCTCTTTGTAGTTCTTTGCTGATTAGGGTTCTAGGGCGAGTTCCCTAGTCACCCAAAAAAGAAAATGAAACATATATGTTAAGATTTGTGTGTGAATAGATAAGTGTTGTTGAATGTAGCTTGGGGCATTCTATCCCTTTTCAAGAAACCATGGAGAGAAGTCCAGCAACCACCATGAACTCTATCTCTGGGAATCTGTTGCTGCATCAGCCAGGAAGGTGCTGGGGCTGCGCTATCGCCTCCTCCCATACTTTTACACATTGATGTACGAGGCACACACCCGCGGTGTCCCCATCGCAAGGCCGCTCTTCTTCTCATTCCCACAGGACACCAACACATACCAAGTTTACTCCCAGTTTCTCCTCGGCCAGGGGGTGCTCATTTCACCGGTTCTAACTCAATCTGCAGTCTCAGTATCGGCTTACTTCCCATCCGGAACCTGGTACGATCTCTTCAACTACTACAACTCCGTGGCGGCAGAATCAGGGAAAACCGTCACTCTCGACGCCCCTCTCGACCACATAAACGTTCACCTCCGGGAAGGCCACATCCTGGCCCTGCAGGGGGAGGCAATGACAACACAGGCGGCCCGCAACACTTCGTTCGAGCTGCTCGTGGCTCTCGACAGCACGGGCAACAGTTCCGGTGAGGTTTTCTTGGATGACGGAGAGGAAATCGAGATGGGCGGGGCCGATGGGAGATGGAGCTTGGTGCATTTCCAAACCAGTAGAGTGGGAGCCAATGTAACTCTCACATCAGAGGTAACAAATCCGGAATTTGCAGCAAATAGCAGTTTGATCATACAGAAAGTGACTGTTCTTGGAATGGATAATAGCACCAACTCATCATCATCTGGTGTTGTGGAGATTACTGGCCTGAATTTGCCTATAGGGACAAATTTTACTTTGGAGCTGAAACCACAGTAGTAAGAATTGCAGACAATCATCATTGTAGTATGCTAATGATCCTTAACAAGGATAAGCAGGAGCTCAGTAAACTAAGATGGTTAGTTTATTTAATTTACCTCTTGAAATCACTGTATCGGAACATTCTCAATTAATTATTCCACCAAAGAAAGAGAATAAAAATTGGAGTAGTTTTTTTCAACTTTTCTAGTTGCTTGTCACATCTTTATAGTAAGGCTGAAATCAAATACAAAGAGAGAAATAAGTTGACATAACTAAATATATATAAAATGGATCCCAAATTTCAAGAATCCTGACACTCTAGTCCAACAGAGTATTTGAAATGATGTAAACCGTGATTCAATATGCACACAAAAAATAATTCTCACGACCCACACTGTTGCTATTAAGATTCGAACTACTGAACCAGTGAGCTAATTAATCATATACTATCCATGTGTGTGCACGGTTTTCTATATAATCTTCACACTTTAATTTTGAACTACTTTAACGATTTGTCACATCTTTTAATTTTGATGACTATTGTCTATGTAAAATATATCATGACAACATGCCACATTAATTGTTTGTAGGAAAATTATCAAATAGACCCTTGATCGAATTTTACAATAGAGAGCAATCAAGCAATCATTATAGTCCCTAAAATTTTAAAAGTTACAATTAAAAACTTGAACTTGTCATCTGTATTTAATGATATTTAAAAGATTTTGTGATAGATAAGGGCATCCTCAATAGTAATGAAATTTTTGCGATTTTTTAGGTATCTACTAGGACTCTAGGAGAGAGATGATGAAGGAAAAATGAGAAGAAAAAGAAAAAAGAAAAAAAAGAAAAAGGAAATCTAAATATATATATATATATATATATATATATATATATATATATATATATATATATATATATATAAAGTTGCGCCAAACGCGCCCAGAAGGCGCGTGGTATGCACGCGCCTCACTGGGCGCGAAAATTGCGCGATACGCGCTGCTTTCTCATTTTTTTCCCTTTCTTTAATATTTGATGGGGCCCACAAAGAACCCATTTTTGCAGGAGAAAAAAACTACTAAAATCCCCACCACCACATTTGTTTAAAACCTAATCTCAAGCTTTTACTATTCCAAAACCTAGGTAAAATTCCTTTATTGGGGATGCCCTAATAAAAAAAAAAGTTGGTCATGTCATAATAATACTAAGACCAAAAGACAATGTTTTGAAAGACAAAACACTAAAGGTAAATTATCATTTATAAATCTTGGACAAAAATAGAATTAACAATTTTATGTATTTCCTTTCAACGTTTTTAGTGCACTAACATTGTTACAATGCAGTACATGCATGTTCATAGAGTCAATACCGTCCGTCCCCCATTAAGGTTCGAATTCATGACATCACATATAGAAGAGTCACTCCATGCCACTAAACCACAACGTCACTAATACAAGAGTAATGAGATCTATCCAACAATATTATTATGCATCATTTTTTTTTTCTTTCTCTTTCTCTCTTGTATTCTCAAATATGTTAATAGCAAGTACACTTATTATCCTTTCTCTGTTTATTTAAAAATAAATAAAAAAATTATTATTTTTCCTTTTAATAAAAAATCAAGACAATGCAATGGAATTTACCTCTTGAAAAATATTACTTTTATTTTCATACTAGTATTTGCACCCGTGCGATGCACGAAATGAATTTGTTGTAATATATTAAAAATATATGAATCGATATATAATTATTTAAATTAGAACATCCAATATTATATAATGCAATTAAAGATATGATTTGAATTGTTTATATATTTTGATGTTATCATTGCTTGAATTTGTGCAAATAATTGCTCAAATTAATAGCTAATGTCTAGATGTACGCATGCGGTCCTATAATTTTAAAGATTTTATTTATCATTGTTTAGTATTTTCATAAATTAGGCAAATGTGCTCGTTCTCTAACAAATCAGTTATAGAAATGAATTGTTATCCTTATTCATTTGTATTGAAGTAAGATATATTTTTTTTGTCTAGATATATAAAAAAAAATTCATTTAAAAAAATTAATATCACCAATTATATTTACACATTATTGAAACCTCTTTGAAGACGACATTGGTAGTGACAACACAATCTTGTTCATCTTCGTTTAGAGCTAACATCTTCTCCATCAGGACTGGTTACTTGGGTGAAAATATATAATGGTTGAATATCACTCAATTAGTTATCCTTTTATATTTTCAGTCAATTCGTAATATCAGATTCATTTTCAGCCAATTATTCTTTTTTATTTTCAGTCAATTAGTTAATTAGAATATCAAATGCAGTGATATTTTTACCTAACTTTCGTTACATTTTTAATTGATGATGTAGATATTATTATTGAAATATTTCCGTTCCATTTTTAATTTATCTTTACTATTGTTTAAAATATGCATTTGCTATTGATAATGTAGAATATTATTATTAGAATATTTTCCTCCAATTTTTATTTTTCATTCCATTTTTAATTAAAATGCAATGATCTGACCATTTTTGTAGTCAATTATAGATCATTTTTTATTTGCAGTCAATTATTAATATTCATTTACTTTTATTTTTCAGTCAATTGGTAATATTAGATTCATTTTCAGTCAATTATTCTTTTTTTATTTCCAATCAATTAGTCAATTAGAATATAGATGCAGTGATATTTTTACATAATTTTCGTTCCATTTTAATTTGATAATGTAGAATATTATTAATGAAATATTTTCGTTTCATTTTTAATTTATCTTTACTATTTTTTAAAGAGTAAATATCTAAAATGGTCCTTCGACTATAGCTAAATTCACAAATTGATCCTCGACTTTCAATTTCAACCAATTAAGTCCTTAACTTTGCAATTTTGACACGATTTGGTCCTCCATCTATTTGACCATTTGTTGACCGTGATCGACGATCTCCAGAAGAACCTTCAGCTCTCGTCGGAGCACGTGGAGGACTCTAGGATGACGTTGCACCGGTTCGGAAACACGTCGTCTTCTTTGCTCTGGTACGAACTCAACTACATTGAATCCAAAGGGAGGATGAAAAAAGGCGACCGGATTTGGTAGATTGCTTTCGGCAGTGGATTCAAATGTAACAATGCGGTCTAGAAATGCAACCGGAACCTTAAAAACCCGACGATGGACCATGAAATTACATATATATCCTCAAAAATCACAGTCAACAAATGGTCAAATAGACAGAGGACCAAATTGTGTTAAAATTGCAAAGTTAAGGACTTAATTGGTTGAAATTGAAAGTCGAAGATCAATTTGTGAATTTAGCTATAGTCGATGGACCATTTTGGTTATTTACTCTTTTTTAAAATATGTCTTTACTACTTGATGATGTAAAATATTATTTTTGAAATATTTCCTTTCCATTTCTAATTTTCCTTTACTTCTAACCAAAAAAAAAAAAAAAAAAAAAAAAAAAAAAAAAAAAAAAAAAGACTTTGGACTTCTCAATACTTGCCCACATTGATTTTTTTTTTTTTTTGGTAAACCCAGAGTTTTCACCGTCGGACACAGTGACTAATCTCCTCGCTGAATTGTAAACACATCTTTTGGGTGGGATAGCTGGCTTAGAGATTTAAGGCTACTCCATTCCCAAATCCAATGATCGAACCCTTGACCTTTAGTTAAGGATGGATGAGTCCCTTACACTCAACCACACCCTCCAGATTGATGGGCAAGCAATTATGTTTGTAAGAGGAGCATTGCTCCTCTTATATAGAGGAGCTCAAGAGTTCTTCTTTTCAAACATTTTCAATGTGAGATCTAAATGATCCCATATTTGCAAAGGGAGCCCGTGACTCCCTTTTGTTTTGTTTTTTTTTTTTAATTTTAATTTTATTTTGCATATCGTTTTGTTTTGATTATTATTATTATTATCATTATTATTGACAAATTCGTCATTTTAACATTTTATCTTTAATCAAAACACCAAAAATATTATTTAATAACTAAGTAATTTGCTCCAAACTGCTAACAACTAAAACAACACATACATTTTGGGTTAATCTTTCCTAACCCACACTAATAAATAATAAATAATAAATAATAAATAAATAAAACTAAAATAAGAAGACAAAGCTAAGGGTCCGTTTACTAACAGAAAACTATTCTCTGTTTTCGTTTTCTAATTTTTCAGCTTTCATTCTCTGTTTTCTGTTTAGAAAACTTGTTTACTAACACAAAACTGTTCTCTGTTTTCTGTTTTCTAATTTTTTAATTTTCACCTAAAATTTAGTTTAGATAATATTAATATTTTTGAGCTAATATTTAAAATAATTTTTTTTTGGATATATACATTTGAATGACATGTATATGAATATATAACTTTTACTTTGAATTCTAATATATGTGAGATTTCAATATCCGATATTTAGACCGAACTTGTATTATGATGTAGCATAATTAAAAATATTCGAACTAATAATCTATTGAGTTCAATCAAAATCTAAAACATTATATAGAGTTTAATTCTTTATTTTGATAATGTAAATAATGTCTAACTTTAAAGTGTAAACAAATAAATTATGTTTAAATAAGTAAGATAAGTAGAAAAGATATAAGATAGTGATAAGTAAAATAATATGATAATGAATGTAATCATAGTAATGTGGTTATAGCGACATATAACTAAATAGATGATAGATGATTCTGTTTTCTATTTTGAAAACAGTTTTTAAGTGTGTTTCAGTTTTTCAGAAATTCCCAGAAATTATTTTCAGTTTTGAAAATGGAAACTATGTTAGTAAACATGTTTTCTGTTTTCTATTTTCCAGTTTCCGGAAATTCCCAGAAATTTCCAGTTAGTAAACGGCCCCTTAGGGCAAACAATACTCGCCAAGAGTTAAATAAGAACCTTTTGACTTCTCAATACTCGCCACATCGATGGGCAAACAATTATGTTTGTACCTCTTATATACAGAAGCTCAAGAGTTCTTCTTTTCAAACATTTTCAATGTGGGATGAAAATAAACCCACATTATATACAAAGGAAGCATGTGGCTCCCCTTTATTTTGTGTGTGTGTGTGTGTGTTAATTTTAATTTTAGTATGTATATAGTTTTGTTTGGATTATTATTATTATTATTATTATTATTATTATTATTATTATTATTATTATTAGAGAAAATTTCAATTTTGGTCCACTGACTATTGCG